AATGTGAAAATGTGCTTCACACTAAAAATGAATTATGTAACCAACAATACCTTTGAATTTTTAATCAGTCTTCAAAGCATCTTTCATCAGCTTCACACCATATTAACTTGCTTACTGCAGAAAAATAAATCCAAGACAGTTTTAACATTTTACAAATTTATTGGAAATATGGGGGTCTAGTCAAATACAGAAAGTCACACCTGAATTTAATGCAGTGTCATTTATTTCTAGGAACTGGAGCTCTGCCGAAGGTTATACAAATTGCATTTTCAATTGCTACTTCTGTTCCAAGCCTACTGTAAACTTATCAACCAAGTAAATGCAATAAAAAATGAAGCAGAGGTAAATATTTTGTGTACTAGCATCAGTAACTGATTCTAGAAAGTTAAAATAGACACATACATATATATATTCCTTGTAGGAGAACTTAAATCCAAAATCACCCATAGTGAATCATTTTTTATCAGAATTGTTTTTGAAATGATGTGCTATTTCCAGACCTATCAGTAAATAAGGCAGTAGCTACCCAGCAGTCTTAAAAGGCTCAAGACCTTGAAGGGCCCAGTGGCAACAACAGATTCTCTGTAATCAAAAGCCTGGTAAGCACATCAGTCCAGTAAAGACATTATATCATGACACCTCTAACACCTTGTCCATACATCCTTCTGTGGTCTAGTAACACACAAGAATAAGCACGTCAAAAGTACTTTGAATGTTGAAGAGCGTGTAATGACTATATTCAAAGGTAGTCACTTTTCGTCTTTTTCCCCATTGTCAACCACTGATACTAAAACTGTCACTGGGGAAATGATTTAATCTATTTAAATGGTTAAATTTAAAGAGATACACACATACTGGTTTATAAAAATACACTGGAGAAATAACCTTTTAAAATATAAAACTTTACTTGTCAAAAAATGTTCATGATCCTTCCATTGCAGTAAATGTATTTTTTACTATTCAAGATGAAGTATAGATCACATGTTAAAACCAATAAAATCATATAAGCATTAAGTTACAACCTATTTAAATTTTTTTTTTAATTGATTGACTTTAGAGAAGGAGGAGGAGAAACATCGACTTGTTGTTCCACTTATTTATGTGTGCATTGGTTAAGCCTTGTATGTGTCTTGGCTTAACAGGATGGTGCTCTAATGAACTGAGCTACCCAGCCAAGGCCAACCTATTACTTTATCAAGAGTATTTAGCCCTGGCCAGTTTTGCTCAGTGGTTAAAGTGTCAGCCATGGACTGAAAGGTCTCATGTTCGACTTCTAGCCCCAGTTGTGGGTGTGTGGGGGAGGAAACCAATCAATGGGTCTCTCTTACCTCAATGTTGCTCTCCCTCCCTTCTACTCTATCTAAAAAAAATCAATGAGTATTTAAAGATTATTTGGTGGCTATAATTATTTATCCCTGCTGAATAGAGAACTTAAACTATTAACTGCCCTTAACTAGTAAGTTTAACATTTGAAAATCCTTAAAATACTACCATCCAATCTATCTTCACAACCAATTAAAAGCTCTTTTTGTTGAATATACATTTAGACCCTCTAAGGTGCACTTCCTCGTTGTAGGTCATCAACATGTCAGAGGAGCTTGCCCAGCTGGAGAGTATCCTTAAGGAGGCTGAGTCCGCGTCAGAAAATGAAGAAACTGACATTTCTGAAGCTGCACAAACCACTATAGAAACTGCCATTCATTCTTTAATTGAAACTTTGAAGAATAAGGAATTTATATCAGCTGTAGCACAAGTCAAAGCTTTCAGGTAAAATGTGGAGGGATTTTAAGGAGATGCCTTTATACCAGCAATTTTCAACCGTTTTCATCTCATGGCACACAAACTACTAAAAATCTGCGCACCAAAAAATATATTTTTGCCTGCCAATCTGACCAAAAAAAAGTATAATTTGATTCATGTACACTGGACAGCTATTGTTGTTGGCTGCTGTCATTTCTGTATTTGACAGTCTAAGAGAAAAGAGGTCAGTGCCCCTGGCTAAATAGGTATCGCATGTTTTAAAGATTCTTGCAGCACACCAGTTGAAAATCGATGCTTTATATCTAGACTGGGAGTTTACAGTGATTGCGTTTTGGTTTCCAATTTGATGATTCAAGAGCAGGTCTTTTTGAAAGGAAAACATGATTTTATTCTTTTCCACAGCTATCACTAACCCCAATTTTAGATTTTATTCTCTCAGTGATAAAGTCAGTAATGTATTTGCCCAAATATTAAAACATGCTCAGTGGTTCACAATGAAGTGTTGTTGCATCATGGGTGTTAATTTAAAATGTAATTGTTTGATAGAGTCTCAGGACTTTAAAGTACTGTTGTATTTTCAGATCTCTCTGGCCCAATGATATCTTTGGCAGTTATGAAGATGACCCCGTGCAGACGCTGTTACACATATATTTCCATCACCAGACTCTGGGCCAGACAGGAAGCTTTGCCGTTATAGGCTCTGACCTGGACATGTCAGAAGCCAACTACAGACTGATGGAACTAAATCTAGAAATAAGAGAGTCTCTACGCATGGTGCAATCATACCAACTACTCGCACAGGCCAAACCAATTGGGAATTTGGTGAGCACTGGATTCTGAGGAACTTCAGGCATTTAGAAAATAAACTAAATTGAAGATGATTAAGAATATTAACAAGCACCTTTTATGAACCCTTGCAATTCACTGATAACTTTTTCTGGCAGCATCCACAACCACAGTGGAACTAATGTCAAAATCAAAGCTCTGAAGAAAAAAAAAAAAATCTAATCATTTAAAGGCTGCCAGTACCTCCCACAAACTATGAAGAAGGGATTTTTAAATTACTTAACCTGCGTGAACAGAAAAGGGCTAAAAGTGATGCATACAAGTACATACATTGCTTTCTGGATAAATCAATTGTAAGAATGTTTGCAATAATGGCCTCTAATACTGAGACATTGGAAAGCAGGTGAAATGAGGCTGGTTCATTTTAGCTGAAGGCCTGCAAAGCTGCTTGGACTTCTAGCAGTTGTTAGCATCATCTACCGTTGATGCTTCGTCATCTACATGAAGAACGTCCACTCGGATAGATACATACAAACTTCTTTGCAAAAACCATTGATTTTTCAACATGTGGGATCAGGGTGTGGGTGTTTGGTTTTGTTTTTTAGTCTGTATAAGGAATTATGTGTGCGTGAGCTGGGATGTGTGAACACGTGATAGTCTTATTTTCAAGGTATGGATGTTTGGTGATAACATCTCAGAGCATGCCTGAAAGAGCACTGCAAGATTATTTTTGAAGAAATTTTATTTTATTAGATCTAACTCTTCATAGTGTGTAAATGTTAGAACATTTTAATAATATTTTAAAACTGGGCTTTCCCAGTATTTCAAAAAGAAATAATATATCTGTTAACGTTATTGGAATGCTGCTCAGTTCTCTGATCAGTGCTTGTTACGATTGTTGATAACTAACCAAAGTAGATGCCTGCAGAGACTTTAAATGTAAAATAAAGATGTCTGCTGCCCGTCAGCTATTCTCATTAGAAAAGTTAACTTATTTTACTCCGTAATTATTATAGAAACTGTATAGATTAAAACTAGTATTTTTCTTGTACATTTGTGCATTGCACTGTTATACAAGAATAGGTGTACAAAGCTAAAGAAAACATTGTGGTCATTGATGATAGAATATATGACTTGCAGGCTGTGAAGTCTGCAGAATCTAAGAAGAGATGCAAATGCATTTTTATATGTTTATTCAGGACTCAAATGTTTCACCCGAAAGGAACCTGGGCTGTGGGGGGAAATGAAAGGAAGCCTGAAGACCAACTACCAAAACATGCAATATACTTATCCACTGTCCAAGTCTGCAGCATAACGAACTGAAGTCTGTCCTTTTTTAAACAGCATTTTGTAAAAGAAACGAATGTAGTCCCACAATTCCTCTGATTTGAAAGGAACACCTTGTATTTTTTATATGCATCTCTTATCCACTGTGACTTCTTTTAAACTGGGCTCTGTGATTCCAGAGTTGAGAATGTAGACATGAGATGTTTAGCTTTGCCTTTTCTTGGGGTGGGTGTGGACCCTGCCAGAAATGTAATTATGCTCAAGTGCATTAATTGAAGGCACTGTGCACCCCGTTGGACTGCTGACTATAGCTATGTTACCTGTAAAATTCCGTAACTGGTCACGGCACATTCATAATCACTGTATTTTTTGACCCTGATAAAAACAATTATTTTGATGGTGTTCTGGTACTGTAAGTGGTGTCCTTTAAATTATTTAAGAACATTTGGTTGTGGGGCAGGAAGAGAGGGCTGGTGTCCAGAGACACACATTTTAGATCCTATTTTTCCGCACCCTCCTTCTTGTTAAAATAAAAAGCATTGTAGTTGTTGGTTTGTGTTGTATTTAAGAAAGGATGGATGATTATAGTGTGCCTCATTTAGAAACTTTTCAAATTACCTTCATTATTCTTAAATTTAGTTGTCCATAAAAGGGGAGAATAAAATTAGTTGATTACCCAAATCAAACCTTTAAAACAGTTGAAATTTGCTTTGTTTCTTTATATGTAACTATGTCCATTAATAATGTAATGAAAATGAATACACCTGCAGAAATCAAGATGCAAATGTAAAATCATTAGGACTGTCCTTTGCCATAAACTTCTGCTTCTTTGCTCCTAAACCTCTAAATCCAAACTTTGCACTTATTGACAAAATATATCAAATGTTTAATTTATTAAATACCTTATTTAGTTCTTATCAGAGCCCAGTATTTGCTCATACAACCTTTTCCTTTTGCCCACTAAATTTACAATTTTTAAATAGTTTGTAAAATAATATCAAAGAGATCTGGAAGTTCCTTCATGCTACTTCTAAAATAGAAGGCCAAAGGGTTTTTCCACTATGTAGAAAATAGTTTCTACTTTAGGTGATGTAAAATAACAGGTATGGTTACAACCTACAATCTAAAATTCAGAAAAGTTACACGTTCTCTTGAAACAGACTCACCAATCCGGAGTGAGCCTTCCTCCTTCGGGTCTGTGGGAACTGCTCAGACGCCACACCAGCATAACCTGCGTGGGAAGAAAGAAGAGATTGGAATCAATGTCATTATAATTGTGTTTTACGACTCTTTAAAATTTTTTCAGAGTAATCCACTGTTACTTTAGCAAATGTACAAAATGTGAAGAAAATTAGAATAACTTCTCTCAATACCCAGAGATAACAGTAATTTGCAGTATTTCCTTCTAGCCTCTCAATCTCTCTTGCTCAAAAAAATCGTTTTATGAATTTAAGTGTATGCATACAGCGCCTTCTCGTTGCTAGAATGTTATCACTAACCCACGAAAAAGATGTTTTGTGCCACTTTGTTTAATATCTGAATTCCCCGTAAAACAGTTTGATCCTTGCTTTCCTCAACTGTAAAACAGGGTCAGCTGTTCTATTAGGAAAATTAATGGCAAACAATTTAATTACCCATGTCAATAGCCAATGAATTTCTCACTGCAGATACCCATTGCAAGCATCTTTGTTCCCTCATTCATTCAGCAAATGCTTGAGTGCATGCTCTATACCACTTGCCTTCCATCTGAGTCAAATGAGTTTCTTCTTGTCCCTGCCCTCAACCAAATCAGTAAGAAGTGTCAGAATGAAACACCACCTTCACCAACACCTGGAGTTCTTATCACTCATTACTGACACCGCCACCAGTTTTATCTGAACTTTGCAAGTCTCCTTACTGGTTTACAGGCATCCATTGTACAGCCAGAGTGAGTATTTCTTTTTAAAGGTGAGTGTTTGTCACTGCCCCATGAGTTTTAAAACCTTTCAGTAGATTCTCACTAACAGGAACCTGAGCAAGGTCAAAAACATCTCAGTCTGGGCCTGCCAGTCTCACGTGCCATCATGTCCATCCCTGTCCAGAGTATTCTACCACTAGGCCTTTGCACATGTTAACTTAATCTGGAAAGTTTCTCCTTCCTTGCTTCACCTAATTCAACTCATCTAAGCTTCAGCTCAGCAGAAGTTTGTGTTTTTTAAGCAAACCCTCCCTAACCTACCCAAGTCAGATCCCCTATTTACTACAATTAACTCTTCCATATTAACATGGCAGAACTTCCCTTTTACATGTTTTATGCAGAAATGAATGGCCACCTGTCTCCTACATTAGAAGCTCCATAAAGGCAGAGGCCAAACCCATGTTTTTCTGTAGTATGTGCAGAGCTAACTCAACCGCTGCTGGTTTTCACACACCAATCCCATAAGCAACACCTGGGGTGCTTGTTAAATGCTTTAATGACTCTGTAGGGGCCTAGGAACCTCCACTTTCACAAGCTTCCTCCTAAGTCCCTGTGGATGCAGAGGGTCTTTCCCATTGCTCTAAGGCAGTGGTTGTCAACCTTCCTAATGCCGCGACCCTTTAATACAGTTCCTCATGTTGTGGTGACTCCCAACCATAAAGTTATTTTTTGTTGCTACTTCATAACTAGTTTTGCTACTGTTCTGAATCGCCATCGGAAACGTTTTCCGATGGTCTTAGGCGGCCCCTGGGAAAGGGTCGTTCGACCCACAGGTTGAGAACCGCTGCTAAGGGCTCTGGAGACCTTACTCATTTTAGAATTTTATTCCTTGCATTTGCACACAGGCATCCAAGATGTTAACAGACTCAACTTGTATGGCCCTCTAAGGTAGTAAGAGTTTTGGAAAGATGCATAATTAGCACCTGATTCTTGTTACATGGTTTCTGTAACCATTAAGCCAATAGCCCTCAACTTCATTTTCATTAAAATCCCCTGATGCTCTAGCGTCTAGCAGCTGAAGGACCATCCCCACCAGGAGAGCCCTTGGGGCACCATCCCCCCACCAGGGGAGCTCTGGGAATGGGGCCCCCTAGTTTTGGGTAGGAAGCTATTGGGTGCAGCTAGAAGAGAATCCCTATGTTAGATGGTGGAGACCCTTTTCCACTATGGAGCTGCAAGTCAAGAAGAAAGGCTAAAGCTGTCAACTCGAGAATCTTGAAGTACACTTAGGAGGCCTCATTTTTGTTTTGTTTTCAGAGTTCCCACCTAAAGTTCATGAAGCTATTTAACAACTTGAAGAAGCTGCCCTTAACCCTGTTCCAAGCCCTGTGAAAACGTGATGAATTCAGTTTTGTGCACAGCACGCCTCTCCCCTGCCATCCCAGGAGTGTTACCCACTAGACTAAGGTCACCAGGATGCACCGAAGCTCCCATCCACAGCCACTCGGTTCTCCCTAACTGTCCTATACAGCAAGGATGGCTGCTTCCTCCTCCTGCAGAAGCATTTGTTTTAATGGTTAGTTGGCTTCTCTATTCAGTTCTTATCTTGCTTATAGCTTCAGTCCTAGAGACCCACATAAGCAGTACCTATAAGCACCTCTCAATTTTTCTCAAGCGACTAACATACCTCAGAGCCTAGCTGCTCTATATGCAATGAATGGATATTAATAAAGTGATAGGCCCAGACTATTAGCACAGGGCAAAGCTCTCAACCTTTGTTTTAAAAAAACAATTTTATGCAATTGTTTTGCAATACTTTTATTTAAAGGCTTTGTCAAAAACAGCCTTTCGTGGGAAGGGAGAGGCAGAAAGGAGAAGGGGCAGGAGGAGGAGCTCACTTGTCTGCTCCACTAGCTCGGTTGGCAGGACCGGCTTTTTACGTGCATTTAAATGATATATTTGAAGCTGAAAGTGCTGTCACAGGATAGGCGTTTGCCTTTGCATCTCCCACACAAATCTTGACGATGGGGCCGTTTAGGATCAATGTGGCGAAGTTTTATTGAGCAGGAGCATCTAGTCTGTTTACAACTCTGAAAGATCAAAGTGAGAAGCACATTCAGAAGGTAAACCCTTGGCGATTTCCTAGAACTTCATTTTTTTCTAGTCCATTCAAATACTTGAATGCACTCCAAGGAAGGCCCTGTGCTAAGCTTGTCTGCATCCCTTGTAGCAATGATAGGGTCACGAACAGAGGGTTTTAAACCATTTGTCTTGGTCCCATGCTGCATAGGGTTCAGTTTGGAATGGTTTCTTCTGAAACAGTTTTCTTAAAGGAAGTCTCTTCCTGCACATGAAAGATGGAGAATAAGCAAGCAGGGGAGAGGAGTTCTTTTAAAAAAGAATAAAAAGTATTTAAATAATAAAAAGTATTTTTATTTAATTTTTTTAAATTGTTTTTATTGATTTGTCTTTAGAGAGAGAGGAAGGGAAAGAAACATTAATGTGAGAGAGATACACTGATAGGCTGCCTCCTGCATGTTCCCACCAGGGATCGAGCCTGCAACCCGGCTATGTGCCCCGACCAGGACTCGAAGGAGCTTTCGGTCCATAGGACGATGCTCAATCCACTGAGCCACAATGGCTGGGCAATAAAAGTTTGTTTTTTTTTTTAATGAAAAAAAAAGTAAAGTGCTTTTAAACAGAAAAGTATTGCAAAACAAGGAAAGCTAATGTGCAAGGCTAGTAACTAGCAGCAAGCTATGGCTCAGGCCTGGCGTCAGTGACCTTGCCTCCCCACCCCAACCTACTGGGATGACCTCAAACTGAGGCAGAAGGCAAAGCAGCAACTGCTGAGCCCGCAGCAGGGAGGTTAAGACACCCTACTTTAGAACCTAACCCTACTCTGCCATGATCTCAGTGAGTAAGTTTTCTTTTCTCTCCATCCACCCTGTGGTGATAAGGTTTCCAACATCCAACTTGAGTCAAGTGCATTGATTAGGTTGTTCCAGTTGGTAAGAGGCTCCACTTCCTGGCAAGTTCAGTCCCCTTTCCTCTCAGATAATCTAAGCCCCTCAGCATAGCTCAGTGCTTCGTTAATAGTAAATAAGAAATGTTTCCACTTCACCCCATAAAGCTGGGCAACTTAGATTTACTTTCAAACAAATCGTTCTCCTTCTGCAAGCTCTTGGGCCAAACTGAATGTTAAAACCCCGTGCTTATACTAAATATTTTAACTCGAGTCTATGCTTCATAAGCAGCATCCGGACAAAACAGTCAACTTTTCCCCCACCTCATGTCAGTAGAACAGTATCCTATTTCTCAGTTTTCTTTCGAAACCTGGAGGGCACTGGGAACCTAACCTCTATTCAACAACTACACCAAACCCTCTACCACTACTCGATGCAGACACAAAGTGCAAGCATTTTGCTTACTTGACAGGTGATAGCCTCCACTCGGTAAGGGTTGTAAGACTTCTGACAAGTTCTGCAGAACTGCTTAAAGTAAACCTGTGATGAAAGAAGAAAAACTTAGAGCAAAACCCTCTTGACACATCTGTCAAAAAGATGCCAGTCACGTGGTGTTTCTTACCTTATTAGTGCCCTGGACACACCACACATAGGCACTTTCCCATCGGATGTTGCAGTCCTTGCAGTGATAATAGCCATATTTCTGCTCCAAGAACTGAGCAAAAGGATACCAGAGTTTAACCAACATGACACCCGAATTGTTATCCTTCATTTCAGAAGCTGAGAAGGACCTATTTGGTACTTAAAATTGGTAACTTCATTCAGATAGTGGAAGAAAGTAGGGTCAGGTTCCAATTAGTCTCTACATGCCCTGGCCGGTTTGGGTCAGCGGTTAGAGCATCGGCCTGCGGTCCAGAGAGACCTGGGTTTGGTTCCCACTAAGGGCATGTACCTCGGTTGCAGTTTGTCCCCAGCCCTGGTTGGGTCATGTGGGTGGCAGCCACTCGTTGTGTCCCTTTCACATCGATGTTTCTCTCTCCCAGTCTATCTGAACAAAAAATGGAAAAATGTCTTTGGGTGAGGATAAAAATCTTAAAAAAAAAAAAAAAATTAGTCTCTACAAGGTAGTAAAATTAGGTGATCTAATAGCCTAAATAAGATAAGCAAACATGAGCCCAAGAAAGTTTATATACCAGATTAATTTAGTTTCTAAAGCAAATTGGTTGACTACTGAGTAGGTGTTTTCTCAGGCAAGGGAAAAGCCAAACACCCAGGGTTCTCACCCCTCGAGGTTCTTTAGGGAGGCCGCTACAACCGGATAGAGTCTGACTTTAGAACACGTGTAGAAGTGGCTAAGCTGAAGAAAAGGAATAAGCCTCTCTGCACTCTGAAGTACTTGAAGGTGTTTGTTCACCCAAGAGTAAGTTCTCTATGCTGCTAGTGCAGTTTCCACCAAACAGCAGCGTGAGGAATCCAAATGGTGGAGAAGCCAGAATTCACGTGTAACATGAACACAAGTAGTAGTCCCTTCTTAAGCTGTCTTCCCTCCCGGTGAGAAACCAGTTGCAAACAAGTTTTTGGAGTTAGGGCTTTACACGTGCCAGGAACTTGGGAGAGCAGGCAGAGCAATTTCACAGGTGAGCAGACTCAAGTCCAGGAAGGTTAAGATGGCACAGAGCTTGTGTGCCACTTGATTGATTCACTCCTCCTCTCCTTCCCACCCCCTCGCAGCTCCAACAGCCCTGGGGTGGCACGGAAGGGGCCCAAGGACTCCCTGCCTTCCCACTGCTCTGGGTCAGATCTGTGCTCAGTGCACTGGAGACCTTTGGGGTTCAGCTCACGTGAGCTGGCCCTCCAAGCCTGCCACACACAACAGCCCGAATGCTTCAGCACTAGTATGTTTCTGAGTAGAGGTGCTTTTTAGGGGCAAGGAAAGATCCTAAGGCACTACAGTAGCTCTAGCTTCCAGTAGAAACTTTGGAAATCCCAGAGCATCAGTTAGGGGCAAGCTGACCAGCGACCCAGTAGTTGACCCTTGTGGCTTTTGCCACATTAAATTCGGAAAAGTGAGATCCTTGGGAATCATTTCTCCTGCCAACGAGCCCACCTGATGTTCAGCTGAGTACCCATTCTAGATCGTCCACGCTGGACAACAAACATGCGCAGAATACGAAGGTTGAAAGGGTGTCTCTCGCCAACCTTAGTGCTGATATTTTCAAATGCCGTAAACAGCCTACAATTAATTTTACTGTTGGAGAAGGACACGGGCTTCTGCCCCCGGCGGATGAAAGGCACACAGACGGTCCCTGCGCCTAAGGAAGCCTGGAGCCTCCCTGCCTCCGGAGCAGCGACAGGGCCAGGCAGGGACCCGCCCCCGGAGGAGACGCACACCGCGGGGCGCCCCTGGCCGGCTCCCCGGCCGCTCGGGCCTCACCTGGAAGCGCAGACGTTCCTTGCCCGCCTCCGGGCTCTGCGGCGACGACCTCTCGCCCTCGGCGTCCTGGGAACCCCCCACCGGCGGCGGCTGTTCCGGGCTCCCGGGCGCGCCCCGCGGGGCAGCCTCGTCTCCCCGGGCCTCCCGCGACGACGGCTCGGGCCCGTCCACCGGCTGCTCCCTACTCGTCCGCGCCGCGACCCGGTCCTTGGCCGCCTCCGGGGACAGCGGCCGTTGGGGCGCCCTCCTCGCCGACCTCTCTCCCTGCTCGGGTCCCCGGGGGCTCGGGGGCGGCGGCGCTCGCTCTCCCTCCGGCGCCCCGGGCCGCGGCTCGCCCGCCGTGGCCTCAGCTCCTTCCAGGAAGGTGGTGAGACGGCGGGAGACCACGGGCGAGTACACCGCGACGGTGCGCGGGAAGCGCAGGGGCCGCGGCCCGCCGCTCGGGGGGCTGCCCTGCGCCGGGCCCGGGCGGGCGGGCTGCGGGGATGCGGCGCCGCCCGCCTCGCGCTCGGGGCCCGGGCTGGCCGGGGGGCCGGGGTCGCGGGGCCTGCGCGGCAGCGTGCGCCGCCCCAGCGAGCACTGCACCGCCGCGTCCCGGCGCGGGTTCACCTGCACCGCCACGTCCCGGCTGCCGGCCCTGCGGGGCCGCGGGGCCAGGCTGGGGCTCACCTGCGACAGGAGGGCCATGAGTTGCGTCCGCTGGTAGTTGTCGAAGTACTCAGCGGCCATCAGCTGCCCGTAGCCCGGGAAGGACGACGGGGCGGCCCCGGCCGAGGAGGACGACGCGGGAGGGTGGTCCCCGCCGCGCAGCCGCCAGCCGCCCGCGCCCGCCAAGCCCTTGCCCCTGGCGGGCGGGTAGAGATAGGGGTACGGGTAGGCGGCGCACGCCGGGTACATGTAACCGTCCAGCACCTCGTCCCCCAGGGAAGCCATAAGCGCAGCCCCAGCCGCTCGGGTCTGGCCCCGCGCCCTAAATAGGCGGCCCTGCGGGGGCGGCTCGGAGCCCGCCTACCGCCGCGCCCTTCCCGCCGCGCTGCCCCGCGGCCCCGCCGGGAGGGCCGGTCCCTGACCGCCTCGGTGCGGCACTTTTCCACACCCAGAGGTCCGTACAGATACTCCTGGAAGTTCTGAAAACAGGCTGTCTTTGCGATGCGCGAATTGATTTGTAAGTGAACGTGTCCAAGCGACAAGAACTATCACCTGGATGAGCTGAGCCAGGTGGTCCCCATACCTTGATTGTCCCAGGTGTCTGCACCGCCCAGGAAGCTGACGCGAGGCTGGGTGCCCCTAGCTAGTGAGCAAAAATGCCAAGGTTTAAGGAACTGCTTTGGTTGGGTTACCTATGATCTCAGGTTATAGGTTAGTTAATTATCTCAGAGCTGCTGGGAGAAGTCGACCCATGGAACCCTTCCAGTAAATGTAGAGGGAAAGCACTCTAGGACCCCCTACCCTGGCTAATTGTCTTTCCCCTGGAGCACGGGCTCTCACCCCCACGCTTCTCCCACCTCAAAGCGGACCTCGTACTCTGAGTACCACGAGGTACTAATGACTACTCTTTGGGGTGGAAAGTAGTTGTACAAATTCTCCTAATCCAATCATCCCGCCAAAAGATAGATTGATTTGGGGTGTGTTAAGGTACATGCAGAAGACCAAGTCAGTCCCTAATTGAAAAGAAAATGCTTTGTTCACCAGAAAAATGTTGTCTGTTCATCACCAATAGATACCAGATCAAGTAATCAAATATGTTCATATATTTTTCCTATTTGAAACAGGGTTGACACTAAAATACTATATTCATTGTTTAATTGACCTGTTTTGTGATTTTTCTAAATACAGGTCAAATTGCAACATTATCAAGTATTCATTAGTTGAACTAGCACACTTTTTTTTTTTTTTAACAATTACATTAAACTTGGTTATGCTTTACAAATATAGCTTGTTTTTCCTCATATAAGATAATGCACTAATTCTACATTTCCAAAGCCCTGTTTTCTAAGAGTTTACATCTTTGACACAGTCATAGAAATTGGTTAACAGTTAAAACCAAATAGAATATTTTACTTGTTCAGGTGTCACTTTAGAGTCCCAGGTGCGAGTTATAATACGACATTGATTTGTAATCTGTGAAAACGCTTGGTTAATATACCAAGGCAACCTTACAATGGGAAGATCAAAACTGTTACAAGTATAATATTGTGAACCAATTGTGATCCTTTATGTAAACCATATACACTACCACAGGCTATAAATATGAAGTAATACTTCAGCAAGATGGAAGCTCCTGTGTATCTCCATGTTTAGAGAGAAGTCTGAGTGGTTTCCATCATAATTAAGTTATCTGTTTTCACTGTGCCATAGGATGTGTCTGCCATTTCCTCTTCTTTTAGTTTCTTATAAGAAATATCTGTGTCTTCATCTTCATCTAGAGGATCTTGCTTGTGCAGTATTTCACTTCCATACATTTTATATATTAACACAAAAATCCCTGCTTCTGCAGACTGGAAAAGGGCATAGAGCAAGGGAAACATGTACATACTTCCTATGAACCGTGGGGGAAAGGCCAGTTTGAGAATGGCAGTGCAGAGCTGCACATTCTGGCTACCTGTCTCCAGGCACACAGTCCTCTTGCAGTTGGGTGGGAGATGGAAGAGCGTAGCTAAACCGTAGCCTGAGGCGTAGCCTGCTAAAGGCATAACAATCGCTACCATGTAAACAGTTGCAGGAATACTTGCCAGCAGTTCAGGTCCTAACATGGTGCCAGTCATTATGAAAAGGATCACCAGCGTCACTAGCAGAGACCACAGGGAAACCTAGTGATAAAAAAAAAAATGGATAAACCATCAAAAACAAGATAGGTGAAGACGAATTCAAGCAAGGGAATCCTAGGATCTTGGAAAAAGAAACCTATCTAGTCTGACCTCCCACACAAAACGGAGATCTTCGCCGTGGAGTCTTTGACAGAGTATTCCTGGGATGGGCAGGTCACCTCGTCAGGAGGCTTCTGACCCACACTGCACGGCTCTAATTGTCTGGAGGCCTGTTCTTCTGTCTAGTGATAATTTGCCTTCTATAACTGCAAGCCGTTGTTATGGATAGGCCCTCAGAAACAACCTAGACCTGATACTCCTCCTGCAAACAGCCTTCAAAAGTTTACAAAGGTTATGTGGGGAAGGTACTCTTCCCCAGGCAGACTGTCCCCGGGCTTTCAGCCTCCATCCTGTACCTCTGTTTTGGAGTTCCGACTGCTGAATTTTGCATGTGTTGAATTCGTGAATGTGCCTCTTAACGGAGCAGTTAGAATTGAGCCCAATACCCTACATATGGTCTGATGGAGAGAGCGGACAAATGGACATGACTTTCCCTGAACACGTGTTTTTCATAAGAAATTAGTTCTGGTTTCACACATGAGATAACAGGCTATTAAAATGTATGAAACCTAGTGTGTGATTTTTTTCACCTTCAACATACTTTCTACCTCTGAGAATTGTTAGCAATATCATAACAATTGCTAAGTCTTGTAAGGGGAAACAATGTAAACATAAGATGTGAGGTATTCGCTGCAATTTTGCGATTCCCCCTTTTTCATCTGTTCATGAGAAACCTCCCACCTGTAAGTCTCTAGTGATGCTTACGGATTATTATAGTAGATGGATTTTCAATATAAAACAACTGACTGTATACAACATTGTGTCATCTTGACTGGTACATTTCACTCATTCAAGTAAGACAGACTGTGTAAATAGCAAGGAAGAAACCTAAAAATTCCTCTCCTAGTTTTTCAGATTGGCAGTTAGGTTGTTTTTCTAAATGGAGTTGGGGGTGTCGGTGAGGAAGACTACAGATCCAGAAGAACAGTTAAAGTGCTGTTTCCGGTTCCCTGGACATCTGGGGGGGAACCCTTTAGGGGTGTGTGGGATTGGCATATATAGTACTTTATACTCTATAAAATATTAGTTAAAATTTATCTGGGCTGGTTAAAAAGTCTGCCCAATAGGATGCTGAATAATTACTATATAAAGTACCCATGCTACCTATGTACAATTGGCAGAAGCCAAATTATTATAAAAGAAAACTTTTCTTGTATTAAGTTTCTAAGGGTGTTCACATCAAAAGCCTTGACAGAAAATCTGATTTTTATTTTTTTATCCTCACCCGAGGATATGTTTGCATTTATCTTCAGATAGAGCTGGGGGGAGAGAGGGAGGAAGAGAGAGAAACATCGATGTGATGGCTGCCACCCACACAACCCCAACCAGGGCCGGGGACAAACTGCAACCAAGGTACGTGCCCCCGCGGGAACTGAACCCAGGTCTCTCTGGTCTGCAGGCAGATGCTCTTACCACTGTGCCAAATCAGCCAGGGTTCCAAAGTTTCCTTTGCACTCATTTAAATCATTCAGGTGACCACTGGCATTGAATGTTCATTTTAAAGTGTTTGCAAAAGTATAAAAATGTGCATATCCTATGAGTGTGCTGGTTAAGGAATAGGGATAAGTTCAGTTTAAACTCAGCCCATCTTACTGAATTGTGTATTACTTAAACATTATGTTTTAGCATGGAAATAACTTATTTGATTGACTTTCTCTTAGAATCCTAAGGTTTTATAGTAAATGTCATCATATTAATAGCATTAGCTCAATAATTAAGCTTAATATGTTTTTAATTTATCTCCAGGTTATTCATTGATATATTAAGAATATTCAACATATATGTATATTTACATGTACATATATATTTATTATATTCAGAACATGTGTTTATTATAGAACACAATTTTTTTTACTCAAGGCTGAATATATGTACAAAAGAGAACCCTCTATTTTTCACATTAATATAAGTTAGCCCCTCTGTGTAATCAGATTACTTTGGGAAATAAATTAATATAAATAAAACACAAAAGATTATGTCTTATTAAATCTAAATAGTCAAAACATTGGAGTGACTCTTTTTCTGGTCTAAATGAATTTGCATGTACATTTTACAGTAATTAGTTCTGTATTTACTACTATGTTTGTTTTCAAAGAAAGTTTAATTTACAAATATTTAAATGTTTCCCCCAGTCACCTGTTATAAAGTCTCTCCTGCTACAGAAAGCACCAGATTTTTTAAAGCAATATTGGAAATAGTAGAAATGCGCATCCTTTCACTACGTTTAGAGACCATATGAGCCCTGGCCGGTTTGGCTCAGCGGTTAGAGCATCGGCCTACGGTCTGGAGACCATATGAAATACTGTAATGAGAAAGGAAAAAGGAAACACAAATTTGGTAATGGCAATATAGTCTGCATTATTTATCCACAACCTAATTTTATTTTGTGCTTTAAAGTTCATATTTTGTGCATTCTATTACATTGCCATGATGTAATTTTTAAACTACTTTTGGTCTAATTAGTATCAACTTATTTTTAGAAAATTAATAAAACATTTTAAAGTAACTGTCAATAGAGTCTCTCAGAATTAGAGTTTCACCTTTAAAAAAATAAAGTATTTCTAAAATACTGTACAAATTCTATTAAAATAATTTGAGTTCACCTGCTTGTTTTGTAATACATGAGCTGTTAATGGAAAATATTTCCATTTTATGCACTGCTATCTATTTCCCACGGGATGTTTACTCTTATGAGTACTGAGTTCTCTTGTGCTGATTTTAATTACTCTGTTTTTGTTTGGGGGGGGCACGTGCCCTTAGCGAGAACTGAACCCAGGACTCTCTGGTCGGAAGGCCAATGCTCCAACTGCTGAGCCAGACCAGCCAGGGCACTCTGTCTTGATTAAAGCTATAATTTTTGAAATTTGAAAAGGTGAAAGTTATCTTTATGGCATAAAGTCTTTTTTCTTAAGTTCATCCATGCAAGGGCTGCCACATTCTTTTCTTTCTTACCCATCTTTCCCAAACTTCCTAGAATTTCAGCTGGGGTTCAGAGACCAAGGACTCTTTAAGTCTGCCAAA